AAGAAAGAAAGAAAGAAAGAAAGAAAGAAAGAAAGAAAGAAAGATAGATTGATTCAAAAAGATTAAAAAAAAAAAAAAGCCTTCAGTACCGGGGAAGATAGCTCAGGGGCACAAGTGCCTGCCTGGCAAGCACAAGGTCCTGTGTTTGATCCCTGGTACTGCAAAAACCAAAAAACCAAAAAACACCCTCAAAACAACTTAGCAACTTCACTGTTTCATGATTGCTCATCTAAAATAAGTTACTCCCAGAAAAGAATCAAGGCTGCTCAAGTGCGCATCGCTTCCCTCAGCACTAGCCTCTGAAGCACCAGCCGTGCTGGGCTCTGGTGCCGATGAGGGTTGCTCTGTCTTCTGCTTTGCTTGGTCAGGTCAGATGGGCTCCAAGAGAGCTGGCTCGTGCAGGCTCACTCACCATACTTAGGAGGCCGAAGACAACGCAGAGCTACAACTTGTTATCTCAGACAAACTTAAAAGAGTAAGTTGGACTATATTTATTTTAGCTGAAATTACCGAACAACCTGGTCACAGCACATCTCATCAATCTTAGCTGTTTTTCAAGTTGACAAGCTGGACAAACAGATTCTTAATACTCTCACTGGATTTCACAAGTGCTACTGTATACCATTGTAATTAGATAAATACATTTTCAGTACTATAATTGAGAAAATATATGTGTATGTTTTAGCTTTTTTAAACTTAAAAACAAATTACTTTGAGGACCAATAAAAAAAGCTTCATGCTAGACATACATTTAAGCATAAATCAGCCACACAATCAAATTTTGGATGCTCTCATATTCACTGAAAGGAACCTGTGGGCTAATTTTATAATTAATAGGTAAAATTCAGCAAGCAGGAAAATTCAGTAATGGAGTATATGAAGAATGCATACAATAATCAGATGCATGTACTAAATTACTCAGGTAAGAAGCGAACTCCATTCATCATTCCCGTCCGTTATCTGGTGCTGGGGATTTTACCCACAGGCTTGCAGGTGCGAGGCAAGCACTTGACCACTGAGATGCACCTCCAACTCTATATTCACAATTTTTTATGGTAACATGAAGGAACTATGGGAAGGTCTATCTCCAAAATATAATTCATCCCAACTGGAAGAAACAGATGTCTACTTGAAACTATCTTGTTTTCGTTTTTTTACATTTTTAGCAGAGGGTCTACAGGGTCTCACTACAGACCGGACTTGTAGTGATCCTCTTGTTTTTCAGCCTTTCAAGTGCTGTGATTACAGGTGTGCACCACCACACCCAGTCTCAGCCACCATCTCAGCGCACCCCAGGGGTGGGGCCGGCACAACAGGCCAGGGATCGAACCATGGCCCCTGGGTCTGCCTAAGCAGCTGCTTTAATTCACTGAGCTATCATGTTTTCATTCTTATAGTCTGGGCTTCCCTAGGTTATGTGCTTGGTTGAAGACTATCAAGAGGGTCAAATCAGTGATGAGGTATCTGCTTGAACTTAAATATTTCCAAATTATATTTCCTTTTTTTTTCATTTACGTATTGGGTACAGGGTCTCACTATGCAGCTCAGACTCATAATGATCCTCCTGTTTTCAGCCTCCCCAGTGCTGGGATTATAGGTGTGCGCCACCATGACCACACTCAGTTGCTGGCTCAGTGTGCCGGGGGCAGGGCCGGTACGGAATGCAGGACCAGGGATTGAACCCTGGTTCCTGCGTTTGCTAAAGCAGGGGCTTAATCTGCTGAGCTATCTCACCAGCCCCCAGATTGTATTTACTTACTTTTATTTAAGATGTATTTATTTCACGAAGTTCCTTTTACTCCTCCCAGTCATTTTAAAAATTCGTTTTACTAGTCACGAAGGGATGACAACTGGATGGCCAGATAAGAGAACTTAGCAGAAGTCAGTATCGTGGATGGTAAAACTCAAAGGCAGGCACAAAATTTTAGTGGATGGACACAAGGAGTTAGGTAATCTATACTGTCAATTAATTTTGTGAGCTCAGATATGAAATAGGGGTATATTAAAAAATCTGAGTCACAAAGCAGATCTGTTTTTCTTTCTTGCTATGTAGCTCAGGCTGTCCTGAAACTCTCAATGATCCTCCGTCTCAACCTCCTGAGTGCTGGGATTACAGGTATGTACTATCATGTCCCAAAGTTTATCTACAAAGCTGATCTTAACAGACAGGAAGCCACTTACTTGATAAGCCTAAAGGTATTTTAAATTATGGGACATTAATTTCTTCTTTTAACGGTGCATTTGTCAAGAGGAAAAAAGTAAACATTCTAAGACCTTTGCAATCTTAAAACTACTGCTGACTTATTAGCTACAGATGAAATTTTTGGGAGTATTCAAATTCTGGACATAGACCATAACTAATGTTAGCATGAGTATGACACTAGATAGATCTATAGTTTTAGCTTCTAAAATTAGTATATGAAAATCGGATATCTATATGCCTAAGACTGAGTCCAGACGTAGCTCTCATCATATAGTAAACTAAAATCTGAATGTTAAAACAGAAACAATTAGCTGAAAGATGAAACAGGTTAACTGTTGAAGACAGGTGTATGTAAGGACTTGCTGAACAGAACTCTATGATCACTAACAAATGGGATCATATCACATCAAAAAGCTTTTGTACAGAAAAGGAAACAACCAATGGAGTGAAGAGACAACCTACAGAATAGGGGAAAAAACATTACTGCCAGCTATTCGTAGGACAGAGGACTAATATATAAAGAACTCAAAAAATTAGGCTACCCCAAATAAAAAACTTAGTCGAAACTATGCATCGAAAATGAATAGACACTTCTCAGAGAAAGTACAAATGGCCAACAAATATATGAAAAATGCTCATCAGCACTGGGCATCAGAGAAATGCAAATCACAACTACACTGAGATTCCATTTTACCCCAGAAGGCTTGGCTACATTCAAACAACCTAATAATAACAAATGCTGGCATGGCTGTGGGGGAAAAGGAGTTCTTCTGTAGTGTTGGAATATAAACTAGTACAACCACTGTGGAAACTGGTGTGGTGATCCCTCAGAAAACTAAAACCAGGAATCTCATTTAACCTCGGTACACTGTCTCGGTACCCTCCCGGAACAGTTAACGTCATTATATCACGGAGACAGATGCATACCCGTGGTTTATAAGCAGTACAATTTGCAAGAGCTAAGTCCTGGACACAGAATTTATGCCTGTCATCAGATGAATGGAAAAAGTAGATAAATGGATAAGGAATTTATTATCCACAATAAAGGACTAAACTGCCATAATGAAAGATAAGCTTGAAGCATTAATAGGTAAATGGATGTAACTTGATAATTACACCCTTTTCATTCCTTATTGCTTGTATTTGAATTTTTTCTTTCCACTATTTGATGAGGTTAGCTAGGGGCTTATCGATTTTATTTAATCTTTCAAAGAACCAGCTTTCTGCTTTTTTGATTCTTTGAATTGTTTTCTTC